AACACAAGCTCTGCTTAGGTGGGGACTAGATGGCGTTGTGTGAATTGTCCTGAGATATTATTATTATTATATTAATATGGGCCATATGGCCTAAATTAAATATATCAATTTACAAAAAAAATCTAAATATTCATATCAGTTGTCTAGTATCCATACTTATAGCTCTGCTTAGCTTGGGACTAGATGGCGCTGTGTGACTTGTCCAGAATTATTACTATTACTACATATATTATTACTTCTGTAAAGATTTGGTAGCAAAATTTTGTTTTTAAATGTGTGTATAAATTAATATGAACAACATACATATTTGGTTGATTTGTGAAATATGAATGTCATAAATATATTAAACGTAGCAGTTAACGAAAAATTCTGATTATTAAATAGTGATAATACTATAAGAGCTGAATCTGTCGTCGAGTGGCATTGTATGGATGCTGCCGCTACCTGCTGCGTCTCGCTAACACGTGACGTAGTCTGGGATGCTGGCATCCGTCTGGACATGACATTTATCCGATTCAGTATTCATGAACAGAATTCTTGCGAAAATTATTTCCGAGAACAAGGTGATACTTGTTACAAAATATTTCTCTTTCATATTTATAATTCTTACTGATAATATAAGTAAAAAAAAAGGAATTTATTTATTGGTTATTTGCGTGTGTATGTATTTTGAGGTAGTATATATTTTTTTATATTGGATGATAATGGAATGGTACACTCGCCTGCTCTAACGGTATACGCTGGCGGAAGCACCAGTGGAGGATGAAGTCAGGTCAGTTAGGACATCGTGGCAAATTCATCAGGATTTTTCCAGGGGGAACAGCATGGAGGTAAACTTGAAATGACACATTGCTACCAATGTATAACAATACAATGTTACTAATCCCCTTACTCCTATAGATGTATATTAATATACTATCTCTATTTCTATAGTGCGCCACCTACGTTTTCTTTACTCAAAGCTTCGACGTCCCAGGTTGTCTGTAAGAGATAAGACCGCCTTGTGTTTAGTATTCTGTAAATATTTTTCTGTAGTTATAGTATTATTACAATAATAAACCAATTTCCATCTATTTACCATCAACTTCTAATTTTTATATTGTAATCATAACGATATTAATTTTTGCGGGAAAACAGCGTTTGCAGCATCAGCTAGTATACATATATACCTAATGAGAAATTAAATGAAGACAAACAAATAAAAAAACTGTATATATGCTATGACACGATTGTCCCAGAGATTAAATCAGGGCGTATATAGACTGGTAGAGTACTCGTCGAAGATGATAGCCTGCACTAACGAATGTAAGCTCATGCATGCGGGTGCAGCATTCCATAAACATTCATTTAAAAAAGTAGAGTAGTACCATCAAATAATCCTATATCCATCTCAGGTAAGCGCTTAAGTTCAAGATGTAGTGGGACAAATCTCATTTCATTCGAGATGTAAGCGTAGTCGCAACGAAAAGCAATCACAGTAATCATATTGCGGCGATATGTGGAAATACGAGAGTGCACATTTATTTTCTTATGAGCACAATCATGTACAGATCTACCTACGCCTCCGCAAGAATAGATCCACCTAAGTACCTACCACCTAACTACTTATATAGGTACCTCTTACCTATATAAGTAGTGTATAAAAATCTAAGTGAAGCGTAAACTTTTATCCCTATTTATGAAAATACTCAGACGCGTTGAGTCGAACTTGTGATTAACAATTAAAAATATAAAATAAAAGAGCAAACTACATACCAATTGAACGTATTGGTAGAGTAGTTACATTAATAATCTATAACATAAATCAATATCTGAATACAGTGGTAAAGTAAATTTTCATTATTAACATATGGTTATAGAATTTGGCACAGTCAAATTTTATATGGAAAAGGGGTGCAGAAACTAATAGTTTTTATATAATTGTTCTTTAAAAATACACTAAATGATTAAAAAAAACATTAACACTACGCAGTAATATAATGTTAAAAAATATCGTATTAGTGCTACCAGAGAGGTGCATGGATATACCAAAATCACATATTTCCATATTTCCAAATTTAAAGATGAATGAGTATTTCGGTTGATGGCTTAGATAGCATTACAGTAAAATTTTAGGGTACAGAGGCATGACATTTCGGGCCTCCGTAGTATATAGAGGTAGTAACATATCCGACAATGTAGATTAGTACTTTTTTTTATATTAAAAATTGAGTGCATTTGAGAATGGTTAGTACATAAAAAATAAGAAAAATGCTCGTGAATATCCGTAAAATATTAAACAGTTTCAGATAAAATCTAAGTAGATTCTGCTTGAAACCTGAGAAGGCTAAATCTTGCAATTTACTTATCACATTAGTAGCTAATTCCGCTTTTAAGTCTGAACACACAAAGCTCACAAAGGCCTATTATTATACTTTAATAAGATCACAGAAGAGTAGCACAGGGAAAAGAGTTCGTATCCAATTGCGAGTACAACGGCTTAATCTTTTTACTATTGTGTGGAGTCTAGCAAATAGGAAAGTAGTCAGAAATAAAGCAAGTAAGCAAAGTATAATATTAATATTATTTATTTTCTCTACACAGCATCGACACGTTTTACAGTATTTTAGTGCCATTGGGCATGTAAAGTCAATGGTGAAATACAAATTTGTGTAAAATAAAATGTACTTTCTTTTGCTTTGCATTCTATTGTGTAAAATATATTATTGTACTTGCTTGTATTTAAGTCCCTTGTTTTTCCGTGTCTCGCTTTTATAAATCATTATCAACAAATTATCAGGTTTTATTTCATACTAAGTGTACCTGGGATGCGTTGGAACTTGAAATGCTTAGTTAAACAATAAAACAGCCTTTATATGAAAGACTATTTGATTATTTAACTACAGATCATCCCCATCAGCAGCCCTACACGGGTTTAATCTCAATAACAATTTCAATCTAATCAAGACTAAATTGAACACATCGATAATAATATCAGTTACATCTTTTATTGGCAACAAAATAAGGAATTAATACTTTGCTAGTGTATTCAAGCGTATAATAAAGAGTGAAATGGCGCAAAGAATTCTATTCGATCAGGATTTCCTTGGTAAACCGGCCGGTCGCGTCTACTTTTTTCTTAATCAAGAAATCTATGTGATTTGAAGAGTGAATCGAGAAGGTAAACTATATGACTTTTTTAAATTAATTTATAATTAAATACTTTAAATGTCAAGGACTATAAATTAGTATTTTACTACATCATTCAAAATTATTATTCTCTGTAAAATAAGACACAAGTCGCAATCCTTGATTATTACATAAGGAATGCGAAATTATTGAACTTGGAACATAATTTTATAGTAACAGGAAATATATTGTAAATTTCTACGGTGCCATTAAGGAAGTATAAAGAAAATTGGAATATTTAAAAAGAAATGAGAGACCAAATTAAATGAAGAGCAATCTCAATCCGTATTACAAAATGCAGCTGTAGTAATTTATTGTCTTTGTGATATCAATTTGGCAATAAAAAAATGTAACAATTTGAAATATTCTCAAAAATTGTTACGAATTCGTCTACAAAATATATGGTAAAAGTCATCTCAAGTCATGAATCAAGGAACTTATACATAAAGCTACAAAGCGCTGCAGGCAACCGCTTTCATTCAGCGGCTGCAATATTTTTCAGTATTTAATCGTTACGCAGTATGTTAGCGGCGTCTGTTGGCGTACTCCTGGGCCTACTGTTGCGTTCTATACAACAGCACTCCGCTTTCACGTCTACCTGGGGCATTATGGCTCTAATGTCACTTAATTTGCCGTCTAGGGCCTCCTTACGTGAATGCAGCATGAGCAGGTTTAATATGAAAATTTGCTTTTTTTCTCTGATGCGAGATTTAACGTTAAACTGTTGCCTCTTTTGAGAGTAAACGCGTAGAAGTAATGGGATTATGAGATCGGTAGTTATGGTTTTCGTCGGGCAAAGTCGAAAAGGAAATTAAATTACGCAAAGTTACACAGATATTTTTGTTTTGGGAGTTAAGCAAAGCGTTTATTTAGGCTAAGCGTTTGCGGTGTACATAAGTATATCACGTCTTTATTTAGCATATAGCAATGAGATAATAATATAATTATACTATGCAATGTTTATGTTATGGATATATATCTGTCAAGTAATTTTCAATAATCATATTAAATTAATTATTGTAGTGTATCTGGAATTTTTATATTTAAAATAATATTGGAATAAAAATGTATGGAAGTAAGTATTAAATTTACAGATGAAAATACAGCAAAACGTAATAAACCAACCAGTACATTTGGCAATCGCTTAAATACCAGAGCCGATAACTTTTTAGAAAAATTATGTTGCAACTACAAAGGCTTAGCTGGCCTGGTCAATTCAGCAAGATTGTCAACCGATTTCAACACAATAACGATATTGTCGTTAACGACATAATCCTGCGAACAGCTTACACGGCAGGAACTACGAACACAGCTATCAGAATTGGACGTTGATTGGATTGTGTTATAATAAACGACAAATAAAAGTGGAGTGCAGAAAATGTGCCTTGTTTTCTATTCGAGTTCACTGGAAATGGACTACGCTCTATGTATACTATATATATGTTTTTGAAAAAGAAAATCTATGTATTTATAACAGTTGTCTAGTGTTAATTGTCCAGGGTTATTTAGGTATTTATATAATCTCAGTCACCTATAGACCTAAATACTGATAAACATATGACTAAGGTGAAACAATATTAACAAACTTTTAACAACATACTTAATATTCTTAGTACATCGAGATCTATTCATTATCCTTAGATAGTTCAAATTCTATTAAATAATACTATTTATATTCTAACTTTCTATTTAATTATTAAACACTTTCAACACACTGCACTTTTTATTGGTCTTTTTTTTATTAATTACTATTACGTACTATAAAACGCATTGAGGGCTGAAAGGCTTCTTGCAATAATCTTGCAAATTGGGCTAATATTATAATCACTCACCTTTAAATCTTAGCTGAATGGTGCCGTATATGAGGAGAATAACATCCTGAAACAAATGAAATAAGAATATTAACAAAGAAAGATCAGTAGTATAACGCGATATGTGCATAACTGCCATATACAGTACTTTGAAATCAAAATTAATTAAAAAAATAAATATCCTAGCATTTTTTTTTAATTCCTGGAGGTGTATCTGTCACGATGGGCTAACGGACCTGACCTCATGCCCATATTATCGTTCTCGACTGGTGTCCCGCCAGCGTAAATAGTCAGTGATGACAGCAGCACGATTCCGTTATCATCAATAAAAATGAAAAACACTTATGACATTTTGGAGAAAGTATATATTTTGTACAATAAAATCTACAGAATAAACATAACAATTTCAACAAACTAAACAGACACAAACACAACAGAGAGATTAATAGTACAATTGCAACAATCAGGTAATGTGCTGATAAGCTACGTTTATTTGCAGTGCCATTGAGACGGACCCTCGCGTTTGCCCTCACTACAGTCGCTACAAATGAAATGATATCTAGAAATATTCTGTATGTATTTGTCCTGCGATATGTATGAAATTTATCCTGCGATAGATGTGCCTTCAACTTCATTTATATTTATATTCTGAATAATAAATGAACTTAACGTTTTTATTTCTAAACGGATTAGACTGAAACAAACATTAAATTGATTGTTTATGTGACCTCTGTTATTATTCCTATGTATATAATATACAATACACAAATATGTAAATAATGAGTGTTACAATATAAAATATTCAGTTACATTTAATATTTTAAAGCAACCGTGGTCTAACGGTTCAGCACACCGTTTTACTTCCGATAGTTGCGGGTTCGATTCAATATACACTTTTGTCTTCATAAGTATGATTGTATTAGTCCAGGTGTTTTCTATGATATAATACGTATGGATTTACAAAAAAAATTATCTATATATTTATATTTCTATATAACTGTGGGGAAGTGCTAGTAGTTCCAACATTGAAATTATCCAACGGTCCCAGAACGCTATTTTGAAGAATGGTCTTAAGAAATTGAAGAATTTATCCACTGGTCTTAAGAAATCATGCTCAAACGTTACTTACTAGCAACCTAACAGTCCTGAAAATAACACATATACTGGAGTTGGTAAAAGACCATTCCAGTTCTTAATTCCTAAATTTAAAGGGCCTCATAAAATAAAAAGTCGTTGGACTACAGAGTCATCAGCCAACAAATCCGATATAGTAAACTTACTGATAACGAATATACAAGGAACAAAAAAAATTCTATCAGTTGTCTAGTACCCATAACGCAAGCGCCATTTAGCTTAGGACTAGATGGCACTGTGTGAATTCTCCTGGGATATTATTATTTGCAATGTATCCATCGTTTATCGTGCATCAGCCATTCGGAGTGGCACAACATAATGCGTTGGCGCCGGCGAGCCGCGGCGACCGCGTGGGCTGCATGCACGCATCCAAAGCAAAAAGCCGCTGAGCGCGGCATTCCTTATCCGAACCGGTCCACGCTCAATGGAAGCCGATATGAACCCTACAATGATTGCCCGCACTGAAAATAAAACCTTAACACCACTAAATAGCAACGCATTTAAGACGTTAGCAATCAAAGGTGCAACAGATGCTAGCAAATTGTTATTATATTACAAGAGAAATATAGGACAAAAAGTTGAATAATGATGAACGGCACAGAGCATCAAACGGGAGTTAAATTTTGTGACAAGTTGATTGATGGTATAGATCTGCGTATCAAAAATAAGATGTATCAGACAACAAACGATGGTCTTATATAGACTAATTTACAGATGAAAAATCAAAAGATCATAAATAATTCGAGGTAATTGTATATTTTTTTCTGATCGAATCTGTTTCCTTGCTATTGTCTTATAAAGTGTAACAATTTTTAAATTTTAAAGTACCTTGTTAAATAATGTGTATGTATTAAATTGATTATTTTCACGAACGGTTAGACCTATTTCCTTTAGAATGAAAACGTTTCTATCCTATCACTACCCTAATATATAATAAATACAAATTTATTACAAATTTCAACATTTTTTCCTTCCTTCCAGAATGAAAATTGAAATACGAGATTAAAACTCCGCTCATATTTTTACACGAACGTCGAACATACATACAAAGGAGGTCGTATAACGAAAATTAAACAAGAGAAATACACTAAACTTCAATTAGAAGGGTCAGAAAGGCAAACATTTCTGATTTGTGACGTCATAAAAGGACAGACGGAGGTAGGCGGCGGCTGCGCCGGTGTTCATCGGTTCCAGGAACCGCCACACTGAACCCGCACCACAATAACTCTATGCATCCAGCAATAAAGTACGTTATATGATCTCGGAATTCTCTTGGAATTGCTTTTTAATGTTCAATTTTAAGTATTGTGATAAAACGGAAATTATGCGTGCTTTGTCTTACTATCTTACTAATATTATAAACTCGAAAGTCTGTGAGTATGGATGGATGAATGTTTGTTACTTTTTCACGCATAAACTTTTAAACAGAATAACACATTGGCTGTAATTTAAAAAGATATTATGTAAATTGGAATAATAATTAACATTAGGCGTATAAAATCCTTGGTTGGTGCATATTCATTGCTGACCTTTTAGTCAAATTTCAATTTAAACCCCTCTAAATCTTTGACGATAATGTCATTTATTTCCAAGGTATTTGGGACATCGTAAATAATAAATGCTTCTTTGAAATGTATCAAAGACAATTTACAACTGTGAAATATTATAAAATCAGATATTTTATTTGCCTTAAAAATTGTATATACAGGAGGTGCATGTGTACTTTTATTAATTAAAAGTAAACATCCAATATATTCCAACCATTAAGCTCTTTTTTTTTTTTTTTAAGTTATTTACTTGATTTGTAACAATTTATACCTAACAATACTTTATTATAGTAGATCTGTAGCGTTAGTTTTTATAGTAACTAGCTACCCGTCCCGGCCCCGCATAAATACAGGAGTTAATGATAGCGGAGTTAAATATTTGTAATAACAAATCTTTAATTTCTCGGCTTGTTCTATACTATAACACGCATGTATTATACATATAAACCTTCCTATTGAATCCCTCTATCTATTGCTAAAACCATTATTAAAATCAGTTGCGTAATTTAAAAGATGTAAGTGAACAGATAATGGTGACGACTTGTTTTATATTATATAATGTACAGACAGATTTATTTTTTTTTTATTTAAAAGAAGTCTTAGTTTTATAGTAGATCGTATCTTTGAAACTATTCTTTTAAACAACTTCGCATCACATTGCATTACGTAAACCAAAAATGATTGTTTAAAAATTGACCCCAGTAGTCTTTTGCCTAAAACATTGTAAAAGAGCTATTCAAACAAATAAGAATACACCTGGAAGCTTTGTGTTGAGGAACTGAAGTTAAGTAGAAGTTGAAACTCGTTTCTATGGCTTCAGAAACTTTGAGAAACCTAACTGTGCCGCCGCTCTTTCATCTGTATCGTAATTTTTCTTGTTTATTAACGCAGTATTTTATTTAATTTTGTATAATAATAAATGAGTTTTTATTTCATCTCCACAAATTACTTAATACCAGTTTCAGATTTTATACGTGTACAGGTAATTCTATAGAATGCGCCATTGATATAAAGTGCCATGCAATACATCTGAATGTAAAGTAATTAAAGTAACAGTGTAATTAAACCCATACAAGATGTATCATTAGTTCTTCAGAAGACAATATGCTAGGGGTAGCATGGGCTAATAATAGGAAAAGGGATGTTTATGTATGGTATATTTTGTAATGCACATAAATAATTTTTTCATCAAATGTACCTCTATTTAATATATTAACTCACGTAAGTTTGAATCTAGCGAAAATCTGAATTAAACCTTGCATTGACGATGCATTCATGCAGATTCAGTCAAAATAAATATAGCGCGCTGAATTTTTTACAGAATCACGTTACTTGCATCATTCGTTTTTATTAGTGTATACCTGGAATTGGTATGAATATAAATAAAAATTAAGTCTTTTGTCATATTATTTTACTCACATGTATATGCACAGTTATTTTTGTATACACTATGCATTGAAATTAACACATACCTACACCAAGTATTCCGTAAAAATGTATGGTTACCTATTCATTAGGACAATGTCTGTATTTGTTTGATTATTGTCATGCTACGAAAAGCTTTAATCTACAGGTGACACTCATTTCTCTAGCAAATATAGTTAACAATAAAATATAAAAGACTCGCCCCTACTAACTCCCACGTTAGATCCTAATATAGTTGGAAAAAAACGTCATTTCATCTGGGATTACTGTTGACAATTAGGAGCCATAATAAAGCAAATAAAACGTTAATTAAATTCATTATGTTCTTAGTTGTGTATACACTCGTACGATCGAGGGGTTGCCAGTAATCCCTACGTGGTAAACATTTAAATGACAATGTCTTCACTATGTGTAGTCGAAGGCATTTTCAAAGTCCAACAATATATCTGATGGCCGTAATTAAAGGGATTGAAAGCTTTGCAAGTGTTTCTGTGTAGCCGAGTTTATACATAGGCACGTACAAACATACCCGTACGATTAAAGTTACTGTACAGTTCATCCGTGTAAGTGTAGCTGCCTTGTGGGAGTTGAAAGTTGATAGGACATTCCGTATTAATTAACTAAATAAGTCTCGTAAAGCGGAGCGAGCGGCTGAAACAGTTGGCGGTGCGCGGCGTCGGCATTGGCGACTTACAAGTTGTCAGTCGCGTGTCAATAAGACAGCGAGAGACACGGCGGATTTGAGTATGGGGACGGGGTGTCGGGCGGCACCACCCCAGTGTGTGGTTTCCTTTTGATGTCATCTTCGCGCAAACTTTGCTACGGATCGGCTTTGAGATAGAGAGACGGAGAGTGACTAATTTGGCCCAGCATTTGATCTCGAGAACTCCGATGTCTGCGTCCCACTCGCACCCACCTCCCGGGCCGCCGCCGCCGGGAAGCTCTTTGCAAAATTTCGCTT